ATTATTATAGTATTACTGTATAAAAGTTCTGATGTTGACACGACCACGGCAAACTGACGCTTGCTAAACGCTAACTCCATCCAGGGCTAACGTTAGCCCATCTGCAGCAGTCTGCTATCGCCCTAGTAGTGTGGGAAGTATGCATTGATGTCTATTTATTCACTGGATAGCCAATTGTCGCCATGTTGGTACTCCCTATAAATATATATATATATATATATATATGTATATATATATATTCATACAACATCAGTGAGTTAGACGGATCAGTCTAACGCACTGATCTCTATGAATAAATAGAGATCAGTGGTCTAAGTAGGGAGTAACAATATGGCTTAAGCAACGTATACTACCAACGGCCTATAAGCAATCCAGTGAATGAATCAAGATTATGGCGTTATTTTTGTCTTTTGTTTTTCTTGTTTTTTTTGTACAAAACATTCATTAGATTTGCATTAATCTGACTGACTTGTTTATTTTATGTACTTGCTGGAATAACAACATTCTGCTACACAATATTTTAATAATGTCTTGTAAACAGCCTATTCAGTTTTTTTTTTTTACATTTTAATGTACATTACATTACATTTTAATCATTATTACCCTACTAAATAAAAAATTTGTAATTAATTATTAAAGGTTTAATCTGGAGACTATTAATAACAGGAGGTGAACTGCAGCTCAGCGTGTGATGACATCACAAAAAGGCTCATGTTCCAATTCACACAGATTTATTATATGTGCTCCCATTCTCCCAAATACATACTTCCTGTATTCTTGACAAGAACTTGGCGAAAACATGAGTCAATAGTCGGTTTTTGTGAATTGAGAATCAGCCAGAATATGCAAACAAGGAAGGCAAGAGGTCCTGCTGCATGCCCTGAGAGCATGGGGGGATGATAAACTCTGAGGGGCCGCTGGCTGTTCATAGCACTTCCAGATAAACTATAAGGTGGATTATAATTATTATTTAAAGTTATCATTATTTTTTTGTAATTATCCCTCTCCATTGCTTTTATGGCCACTATGAACTGCCATTAAAACAGGAAATCTGCTTATTTTAATAAGCGTGGACCAGATTGGTTTATCCTCTTAACATCTGCTCTGCAGTCTTTGTAGATCAACCAAAACACACCAACATACTCCACACACAGAAAAATGCACGTACAAATTAGCAGCTTTTATCAATTATTTGACGATCAGGCCATTAAGGTAAAAGCTGTGACAAAGCACAATATGGACATACATAGTTTACTTTTTTTTTGCTTTAACTAATTTTTTTTTTTTTTTTTTTTCTACAGATCTGAAGTTTTAGGTTTATGTCTTATAGTTTCTTGTGTATATTTTGTTTGTTTGTATTCAGTCCATAGAATTGCAACAATAGAGGTTTGTTTTATTGCTAACACTGCAATAACATCATAACCACCATTTTAATAAATGGTAATTATTAACAGATTGTGTATTAATGTTTGATAATAATGTATAGACTGCATCTATACCATTCATAGAAGGTTAATAATTAATGTTTCTCTGCCAAGTTAGTTTAACCCTAACATTAGTGGGCATAATACCTTACTAAATTATCTATTTACCATTTATGAATTATTTAGATGCATTTTAAAATTGAAACAAATGTTAATTAACTATCTCTTAATCATTAATAAATGGTCCCTTTAGCTTTTATAAATTAGGATTCTGATGGTTATTTTAAAGTGTAGCCATTTTATTTTCTAATTCCTTTTCCCACTGTTTATTTATCTGCACTACTGGTATTATACTATAAATGTACATAGTGTGTATATATTGATTAACAAATTAGCTGGAATAAAAAGGCGTGCTCTATTGACATCCTAAGCCGCTCTGTGAATTGATATGCTGTCTATATTAAAAGTGGCAGTCCAAAAAACAATTTAGAAATAGTAGAGCTCTTTGATCAGAAAGGCTTTAACATAATGCTACATAATTGGGTAGTTTTAATCCACACGTTATATGACTGTAGAAGTAATGGACTAAAGCAGTTTTTTCTGATCCCGTGGTTCCTAATAAAGTTTTATAACACTTGATTAATTTATGTGTGTATGTTTGTTTAATTTTATTTTATTTTTTTCATTTTGAGTCATCTTTATTTGATAATTTACTGTTATGTCATATTCATCCATACATTATATAGAAATGAAGGATATTAGTGTACTTCTAAGTGCAAAATAATCAGGTATGCAAAGAGAGCGAGCAGCTTTCTGCATCCATTTACCCTCCTGCATTTCTCATATTCTGTATACACCATGTTCTATAATTACACAGCCTCTTGATCCCCAACTTAAAGCTACCATTAGAAACCTCATTGTTCCTTATGTTCCAAACGGAGCCTTTGGCTCTCTGTCTGCAGGTTTATTAGTGGTTCCTAGAATATCTAACTGTAGAATGGGAAGCAGCCCTCTTAGTTATGTTAGGATAATTATCTTTGATAATATGTGAGTTTATTACACCTTAATATTAGCTGCCTGCTGCATGTTAGAACTGATGTTTTCCACAATAGTTTATCTAATTAAGACATTTCCTCTGTCCGGTTATACAGTTATAATCTTCATTCTGTACGTGGCAAAGATTTGGGAATGGAATGACAGCGGTGTCCTTCAGCTACAAACAAAGTGTTATATTTTGATAAGGTTGGAGCTATGGATGTCTCCTCATCCGCTAAGGTATATGATGTAATGATGTGATGATGTGGCAGACTGGAGATATATAAAATGCTTCTTAAATCGGGGCCACTTTCTGAGAGGTGAGCCCAGGGGTGTGCAGCTGCCTTCTGTAAACTCTAAAAAACTTCTCTGATCTCAGAGTAATATTATAATTGCTATCAAAAACTGTTGTCATGTCTAATGGTTATGTAATACATATAAGTTATGAAGAGTTATTTAAAGAGTTTGTCCCTAGTGATCTCTTTTCAGGTAAAAGAACCGGAGAAAGAAAGCTCCAAGGTAAAGAACCAGAGCCTTCTTTTACAGTTACCAGGCTCCTCTCCTGTGGACAATGTTGTGCCAGTTCATAGATGAAAATGAACTTTGTTCACTTTTTCAAAAAATGAACTAAGTTCACAAACCTATAAATTAGCTATTTAAAGTTAATCTGGTAAATGAAGCCAATATCCTCCACAATAGAACCTCATATTTTACCCTTTATGTGTCTGACCATACTGTAATAGAGAGAAAAGGAAAATACTAGATGCTGTCAAGGTTTACTGGATGTGCAGTGAAGCCTTTATTTAGCCAAATCACACAGAACCTCAGAAGCATTCAGGAACATTCAGGTTCTGCCAAAAAGTTCTGAATAAAAATGATTTCTTATGTTTCTCATTCACTAGCAGATATTTCCCAAGATAGCTTGGATGCTTTAATTCCATGTGTCGCTTTAAATTTGAAGGGGACATGGCTGATGTACAGACTTGTTTGTTAAGTCTAGAAGGAACTTCAAAAAACATAGAGCACACTTGGTTGTGACATCATTGCGTCTTTTAAAAAAATTCCACAAAAAAAAGGATGTATACTTTATGTGCATCCAGCTCAGTGCTTACTGTAATTCTGCTTATTTTCTTCCTTCCCACGAGCTAGTTTACTATTGTTGGGGCTCAAAATGGTAGAATCCCATTAAGACAGAAAGAACACTGGAGACGATTCACCTTATTTGTCCTCCGGAGGGGGGAAAACGTTTATTGACTAGTCTAAATCCAACAGCTGTCTAATAATACCATACAGCGCTAACATCTCACAGCTAGTTTACCCCGAAATGGCGCACCCATCTTAAGCTCTTTTTACCTTTCTTTCAACATTGCATGAATGTATGTACACGACCAAGTACTATTTTGAAATCTTGCTGGTGTGTGTGTGTGTGTATGTGTGTGTGTGTGGTGTTTTGGCTCTGGCTTTTCCAAGTGAGTGTGCGCATGATAGCTTGATATGCACTTAGAAATCTGTGTAAAAATCTGGGTTGCGTGCTCTCAGCTCGTTTATCTAAATAGGAAAAAGATGTCATAGCCAAGATTTCTTGGCGCATTGATCTCCTCTTAACTCTGATTTCCATTGTTTCTGTGTGCAAGGGTTCAACCATCCTGTCCACTGTAATCCTTGTGTGTATTAGGCCTTTTACTGAAACATGTTTACATGTTTTCTAGTTTATGGTTTAATTTCCATTTTGTGTTATTCTATTTGCTTTGGTTATATTTTGTAGTTCCTATATATTCCTTGTTTACCCTCTGTTGCCCCCTTGTGTCAGTCTCCTTCTCTTAGCTCCCTTCTAGACTCCTCTGTCCTCACCTGCTCCAAATCTGCTGATTAGCCTGGTCTTTGCTGTCTCCCATTTATACACCTCATGGTCAGTCACTGTTTGCTGGTTCGTTGTCGTTTCTTGACTCCACGTGTGTGTTTTCCTGGATGTGTCCTAAATTTTGGATTTCTGTATTTGCTATTTTGGATTTTTGCTGATTTTTGGACATTAAAACTACAAAAACTCAAAAAAAAGATTATGATACATATTATATAGCACCTATACCATTTCATTTTACAACATAAAACATATTGATGCTTGAATGCTTAGTTTGTTTCTCTGCTTTCTTTTCTGTATTCAATGTAGAATTATTATTGTAGGAATTTCCAGACTTAGCTGCACAAGCAGTAATGCTGACATAATGTTAACAGCAGTTGCGAAGCTAACAATTTACCCATAACGCTTTACATCTATCAGTTATCATTTTTCAAGCTGTAGCATAGGATTCCTTTTCAGTTTTTGTTGGAAGCTATAAAACCATAAATTTAGGATTTTCTGAAGTTCACTCCTTCTTTATATATTAGTACATGAAAAATATTTTTGTATTATTTGATTGTTTCAGTTGATTTACAGACAAAGTGTGCTTTAGATTTGGATGTCAGGTATAAAAAAAACAAAAAGCAAAACATTTCTGTTAACTTGCATTTATTTATTTAGATATTAGCATTTCTGTTCAAGGTACAGGAAGAAAATAATTATATTTTAAAGAATATTGATTTATAAGATACATTTCTATTATTTAAAAAGCATTATTTCTGTACTTTGCCCACCAAAAAAAGTAACATATTATTGATTCTTTAGTAAAATATTAATTGCAAGAAGCAATTTGAAAGATATGAAACAGTGGAAATTAAGTTTCTTTTTCTACATGTGCATAAATAATACAGCTACAGTTGTAATTAGAACTATAATATGATAATATTTGCTTAAAAACCCAAGAATAGCTTCTGCAGCAGGGTCCTTTAGGCCGGCTGTAAAAGTATTTGTAGACCAGCTGTGAGCAAAACTCCAAGGAGAACCAATGCAGGGGATTTTGTCAGTATGAGAACACCATTTGTAGCTGCAGCTGGAAATGAAAAGCAAAAAAAAAAAATCAAATTAGAGAAAAGTTTCTAATTTAAAGTCTATTTTAAATAATTTTCTGTTAGCGAAGCTTACGTTGTGATGGTGTGGATGTACCAACTGAGGCTGGACTGGAGCTGTTTGTGTTTCCTATTAACAAAAATACATTTTGTTAGACAAGTGCATTTTAATTTAAAAATGTACATTCTAAAGGAAAACAGTTTCAGTAAAAGTCCTGTGACATTTTATCAAACCATTCATTATCAAACCATTGCTACACAAACCGAGAATCTATTTGATCATTTTCAATCGATCAGTTGGATTTATGATTGGTTTTTAAGCTCATATAACATCAACGGTTGGAAATCTAAAAAATTCCAATACAGAAATAAATCCTTACTGTTTAAAAGGCTGCAGAAAAAGAGGGAAAAAAATGTTTCTAGTGGACCAGGTTTGGCTCCAATGAGGCCAGTAGCACAGTAGAGGGAGTTGCTAGGGGAGTGGTGGCCTAGTGGTTAGGGGAATTGCGCTTGGATCCCAGAGGTTCTGAGTTCAAGCCGCCCTCCCATGAACTGCCACTCTTGGTCACTGAGCAAGACCCTTAACCCCCACACTGCTCCCCTGGTGCCGCACAAATGGCAGTCCGCTGCTCCCACTGAGTTATGGTAGCAGCCATTCAAAATGGCCCTTCCCAATCAAACACCAGCTGAATGGCAGCCCTCTTCCCTGCAACTCCTTACGAAATCCCCTCCAACTTCCAGCCACTGGAGTGACCCCTACTTTTATATTTCTTTACTCTGTCCACCCTTTCACTGAATTACAGGGTCTGACCAGGAGATGATGTTTTTTCTTTAGATGTTAATGTCCACAAATCATGACAGAAAGAATATTTTAGTACAAATATTGATGTTTAAAAAGGAATTGTAGGGGACCAGTCAAGAGCCCATCAAGGAAAGGTGGGGAAATTTAGAATGGCTACACCTGTAAATGCAGAGAGTTAATTTTCTTGCTCTGTACTTGTGATAGTTGTTACATGTCCCTATTTTATCTCCATCTCCTGATGGCTTTTTTGTTGTTGTTTCTTTGGGCACCTTTGACGGTTCACTGATGGAGGGGACAGGGCACCGCTGGTCAAGCATTTAGCTGGGCTGGTGGTACACCAGGGGATGATTTTTGTCTTTCCCTTCCTCAGCAGATGTCAGCTGGTTGAGGAACTCTGTTCGGAAATTTAAGGTAAGCCCCCACCACACTGTGTGTTCCGTCAGGTGCCAGTTTTTTGTTGGTTTCTATTCACTCTTTCCTCTAGTCTCAATTCGTACCATTTATTTTTGCGGCCTCTCCTCTCACAACAAGAAGAAAGAAAAATGAGCAGCAGTGAGAGATAGTCTTTCATAACATAGTATAATGACAATAAAGTTGAATTCTGTTCTATTCGAGTATGGCCTTCAGTTTAGATCAAGTGATAGCATCAACATATGAGTTAAATTTCTTTGTGTACCTTGTGTCACAGTTCCATTTGCAGTATTCTGGGTCATGTTGGTGCCGGTTGTGGTATTTTGGGTCACGTTGGTGCCGGTTGTGCTGTTTTGTGGTGCAGTTGTAGCGGTGCTTCCATTCACGTTGGAGCCAGGTTCTGTTGTGTTCGCATCTACTCTGTTGCTGATTAGACCCACGCCCAGTGTGTCAAGATCAGACTGTCGCTGTAAATTCACCCAGGTTCTAACCACTGTTTCATTCTCAAACAGCTTCAGATCTGGCAGGTTTTCACCCATGAGCCCTCGGACGTCGTTCACAGTTACATTCTGTGTTAAAAAAGGACACCAAGGGGGGAGAGTTGTTTTGCTTTTCTGCTCCAAAACCAAATGTGATTTCCAAACCCAGAGATATTTTAAGCTCTTCTGAACTTACACACATGCCAACAATCATTAGCTGTTATCACATGCCAACTTACAGTTATCACATTGATATCCAGACTTCTGAAGGTGTTGACACTCATGCTGATGTTCTGTGTTGATAATGATCTAATATCTGCTTGCGGTGCTCCACCTGCCAACATGGAATAAAAAGCCATTTCTTAATATGTGTACTTGTGTGTTCTCATGTGCTCGCGTACTCAAAAAACGTCATCAGCCTCGGCCCTAGTACTGTTCCAATTCACAAGACCAAGAATACAGAGAACGGACAAAGTCCCCGGATGTTGTTCTCGCCTCTCCCTCTTTACCCAGCATGCATCAGAGCAGACTTGTCCGTTCTCGAGATTGACAGCTGTCCCAGCATGCACTGCAGCAGCAGCAGCTTCAAGGTCACAGAGGTCACAGAGTATTAAGTTTAAAGTTCTCTTTTCTGTGTTCTATACATTTTGCTGTCTTCTTCTCAATAACATAGTTGCGAGGACAAGAGTCCGTACTCGCGTTCTTGTGAATTGAGAACGGCAAGAGAGTTATCTCAACTGTTTTCAGTCGGATAACTAGATAGTTAGCAGGATTTCTCACCTAGATAGCCTTTAACCAGGTTGTAAAAGGTAATGGGATTATCACGATAAACGCTGTAGGAGCTGTTGCTGATCTCATAGAGCACTCTCTTCTGCTCAGCTGAACATGATGACACATCTATAAGCCTGGCATTTCTGCAAAAGGAAGGAAAAAGGGGTGTTTGGTTTAACTCTAAACAACTTGTTTGTTACTTCTATGCATGCAGACACCAACCTCAGGCTGTCTGTTGTGATGTTCTGTAGCGTTCTGCTTTCCAAGGAGCAAAGGTTGGAGCCTATTGCGTCCAACTCAGCGCTGCCCAGTGAATTTCCAGATGTTTCCAGGTACTTGGTGATGATTTTTCGGCTCTGAAGTTAACATGAAGAAAAAGCACCAGATTAGAACCAGCCTAATGAACGTTTTTCAGGTGTTTCCAGTCTTTCTGCTGCACCTTCTCCTTCTCCCAGCTTCCATCTTCAGGTTCCATGAGAGCGGCCAGAGTATCCAGTTTAGTGATGCTCCACCCAGAGATGTCATCAAGTGTTGCCATGCGAGATACTGAGGCAAGCAGCTGTACTGCCTGATCAGGAACTCCAGATGGGTAAGTCTGTTAATCCAGAGATCATAAAGTTACTGTACAACAGAAATGCTACATTTGAACTGAAGTCTTGATATTTTAATACAATATAATTCACTGTGTATTTCAACCCAATGCAATGACTACCATGTCATGATAGCTGCTTGGTCAGTTTGTCCCAAGGTTTCTGAAAGCACACGATGCTGCTTGTTACCTGGTTGAGCTTCCTCAGAATAATTTTCTGGAATTCATCATCATCCACTTTCTGGCAGATAGCATAGAGGTTTTCTTTCAGCACAGAAAGGTCCAGGCAGAGGTCAAACTGCATCGAATCATAGCCAAAGGGGAACGCTGGGTCGCTAATGGTCACCTGGGTGATCTCCTCTGAATTACAACCTTTTAAAATAAATAAGGGAGAGAGAGGGGTTGCTGTTTGCTGCTAGTTTGGCAATAAAAGGAAATATTTGTTTTACAAATTACCTCAAAGTAACATAAAACATTCATGTAAAGTCATTACAATGTTAGTAAACTTAACTCTGGGTCTGAAGACAAATGTATTCATAGAATATAAACTGTTTACCTGCTGCTCGCTTTGCCAAACGAGTACTGAGTTGTTTGAACAGCCTCTTTAGCTTCCTCTTCTGAGTTCTTCTTCTTCTCAAGTTCGGCATGAAACCTTTAAGGAACCTTCTCTTTGTTTGCTGAAACATGCAGAAAAAATGCTTTGGAACCTGATCTTTTCAGACGGTGAAGAAAATTTTAAATACACTTTTAAGACACAGTAACAGTAAAGCAGCGTAATATGAAGACATACACGGTCTAAGTGCCCCCAGAGGTTTGTTGAGAAGTACAGGGGAAGAATGTCGAGGTCCTCTAGTGTTTTCTTGGTCCAGGTGGTGACATTTCTAAAAATGGAAAACACATAGTTTTTATAATTTAAGCCACAAAAACTTGGACAGAAAAGCAAAAAAATTTTTTATGTATGTGGTTCTAGTGTCACATGATAAGTCCAGGATAACATTTGGGTAAGAAAATCTTTTTAAATACAATCATCTTGGGTTGAAGAGTCTCCTAAAAAATGTGGCATTCTGGTATGTGCGTGGGCTCATAATTTTTCATACCCAGATGGTTCGATGGGCATATTTAACAGAAACACTGGATTTTAAACGTTCTTGAGTCTGTATCCCATTAAAAATGAAAAAAAAATTCTTATTACATCACATAATTTAGAATCTTTTCTTATCATTTAGAACTTTTCTGGATGTTTCCACTTTGAGATTTGAAGGCCTCTTTGCCATAACCCTGTTCTGATGCTTCCTCAACAGATTGGAGGACATAGGGACCCCTTTTTCATCATTCTATCTCTATTCTCCCAGAATCTATTAGTTAAATCTCTAACGTTCTGCTCTCTCTGCTTTTTCTCAAAGTAGCTTCATCTGGTCTGTTCCTGTTTGGCTGTGACTCCATCCTGGAGAGAAATATCAG